TCCTACCCCTACAACTCCTCCAGACACCATGAATCCTAGCACCCCTAAAGGCCACAGAGACAAATCAGTTCCTATGAATATGCCGCACGCAACCGAGGACAGGAGCTGCAAGACCACGTTAATGCTAATTTCCTTGGCCAGCAGGGGCTTCATAATGGCCTTCAGCTCTTCCGCTGGTTTGCCAAACTGCCTCGCGAGAGCCATGAAGGAGACATCATCGAGGCCAAAGACCTGGCAATAATATCTCATGCATGTCAGCAGGATGGTTACGTCAATAATGGTGGAGACACCGGGCATGTGAATAACCGTGAGAAGAGAGGACACAAGGGCTATTTTCCAGATCTGCTTCTGCAGGGCTTCCTTTTTCTTTTGCAAGATTTGCAGAGAGGAGTTGGGCAGGGCCAGTATCAAAGCCCTTTTCTTGTCGCCCGGGAGCGCTTTCTCCATGCTCGCTCTCAGGAGGGGAAAATCGTACTTCTCCAATTGAAATGTACAGAGGAGGAAAACCTCAGGATTCATCATCCCTCCCACTTCCAGGCATCTGATGCAGTGGTTACGGATGTTGTGAAGTATTTCCTCCTCATCATGGGTGGAGGGCCGGCTATGTCTGTCAGAATCCAAATCTGCCTCCACCTTGGAGCGCACAAAGTAACACATCTTCCCTGCCTTCCGGATCTCCTGGGCGAGCTCAACCTGCTTAGGTGTGAATCCCTCTGAACACATGATGATGAAAAAGTCGTAGAGGACAAATTTCACCTGCTGGAGATATGCCTCTGGCTGAACATCTTCTGTCCCACTTATCGGCAGTCTCCAGAAAGTCACACTCGGGTGTTTGGGATGCTGATAAGCTGTTGGCTTCATCATAATTTCTTCCTCCTCAACTGGGGCAGCACCTTCGTCTTCATCACATAGCCCCCGCATGGCGTTAATGAAGGACAATTTTCCACAGCCTCGCTCTCCCATAATGGCGATATTTAACCTGGTGTGTTCCAAAGCCTTCTGCTGCATTATAGAAATCAATGTAGGTACTATTTGAAATCCAGGAGCAGGCCTTGGTTCTCCCATGTCTTTGGCAGTCTGCCCCTGAAAACACAAAAACCCAGACCAAATATTGATCGTGTATTCTCAAGGGCAAGATTTATAATATAATCAGTTCAAAGAAGAATCACAGCAGGCTCAAAGTGAATTTGCAACAATCTGCAGTTAAATTGAAGAAATTGCTGGTAGGAAGGAGACTGAGGACACCTTGTCCTTCTTCCCCCACCCCCTATAGATGTCAGACCGTCAAAGATCCCTCACCAGGACCCGTGAGAAGTGGTAACGCTACCATAAAGGCATGTGTGCAGCCCCCTTTCTGCAAGGAAGGTGTGAGATGCATTTGCAGAGGATCCTTTCTGAGCGAGCATCCCAGACGCACAACTGGAATCTGAAAATCTCTGCCTGTTTTGGGGACCCAGGGCAATTTTGGAGAAGACATTCCAAAGTTACACCTTCACAACTTTCAAATAGCGGGAGCAATTGTCTTCAGAATTGGCTTGATCTTTAGAGCACCACAAGATCTACCAAACAAGTTAGGTTTGATATTTCTGGCTTCAGTAAGTGGGAGTTAAGTCTGGGCAGAAACTTTCTGAGTCAAGTGTCTGTGAGCTGGTTACACAGTTTGCAAAATCAGTTTACAGAGCAGTTTGCAAGTGCAGTAGGAAAATTCTGCCCCTCTTCTGAGCTGTGGCACCTGTTGCTGAGAACATTCAGGGCCAGGTCCTCAACTCCTGTTCTGGTTGGAAATCTGCCCTAAAAAGGTAGCCAATAGTGGGGAAGTGGGCTGTCTTCTGGTATGAAGGTCTAACTTGCTCTATGCCCCTCACATCTGCATAGTGCTCTGGGAAGAGGTATTCTGGAGGTTAGAAGAGGTCGGGGACTCATGCTGAACCTCAGCTGCTGGAGCTGTCCCTGTGGGACTGCTGCAGATGGCATAATTTAGGGTACGTCTTCAGTACCCGCCGTATCGGCGGGTAGCAATCGATTTATCCAGGATCGATATATCACGTCTCGTTAAGACACGATATATCGATCCCCAAACGCGCTCACCGTCGACTCCGGAACTCCACCAGAGCGAGCGGCGGTAGCGCAGTCGATGGGGGAGCCGCGGCCATCAATCCCGCGCCGTCTGGACCCCAGGTAATTCGATCCAAGATACTTCGACTTCAGCTATGCTATTCGCATAGCTATTCGCATAGCTGAAGTTGCGTATCTTGGATTGATCCCCCCCAGTGTAGACCAGCCCTTAGAGTAACTGTGAGCTTGGCTACATATGACAATTAATCCAGAATAAAGGAGAATGTGAATTTAAAGCAGACTAGCTAGTCTGGATTAACTCCCTACATGAATGCTTTGGAAGTGGATTAAGATAGCTCCAGATAAAGCATTTTTTCTAGGAATAAGAGCATCCACACATGGAGTTAATCAGGAACGGTTAATCAGGAATCATTCCCTGTGTAGTGGCAGGTCTAAACTACAGGGGAAAGTCGATCTAAGCTACACGATTTGAGTTATGTTAGTAGCGTAACTCAAATTAATGTGTCTTAGATCTACTTACCACGGGGTCCACTCTCCCGTCGACTCCCCTTACTCATTTCGTTCTGGTGGAGTACCAGAGTCAACGGGAGAGTGATCGGCAGTTGATTTAACGGGTCTTCACTAGCCCCAATAAATCGAAGCCCGGTGGATCGATTGTCACAG